ATAACTTCACAGCTGTCAGCTTCAGTGAGGACTTCACCAGCCAGTATCCTTGTTGGCCCCTGTTTGGCTTCTAGGGAATCTTACCTAATGACTTTTTATTATTCAGGTACCAGTGAACTGTAGAGAGAAATTTTAAACTACCTTTCATTGACTTCCCCCACCATCATCACACTGGGATCTTATTAAGCCTATTCTTTCTTCCACTGTAGCCTGTATAGACAATATCATTTTTTCCCAATAATCCTTGATCTGGACTGGTGATGTTCTGTAAGAGACATCTGACTGTATGTGAAGAGTAAACAACTGTTTTCTCCATAGTTTTAACCCTACATATACCCAGGTCCAAAAGTAGACAATATTGCTTTCCCTCTAATGTCTCAAGAAACATTTTTAGGTGTCACTTTCAACCCCACTCTCTTTTCCCTGCTGAATCTGATAGCTTCTTCCAAAGCAGCATTCTGTTCCAGAGTTTTGTCTTTTCCAGAATGCCATATCATTGGAATGGTACAGTGTGCAGCCTATGGGTAAATATCCATAACGCGGGGTCCCTCAGCAGTGATCAGAGACGGAGCCAAACCACCACACGGAGAAGTGGCTGTGGGCACAGGTGTTTGGAATATGTGGCTAAATAGGAACATGGCAAATGTACTATAAAATCCTCATTTAAGTTAAGCAACTTTTAGTTTTCCTATTTCAATATGATTTCCTAATCCCGTTAGTTCTGTGTGGCTACTACTATTTAAAAGCAAGAGTTAACGATTTCACTTTATTTGAATCTCACTCAGCTCTCCACGTTAGGGACCTGGTGGGAGGCATTAGGACAAAGTATATATAGAAACCTCTTATGAAGCTGTCTGGAACAGATTGCATATCTCCTAGCCTTTCAAATGAGGTGAGCTGTTAATAAATAATACCCACTCATATATCTGAACAGTATCTGTGGGTGAAGGCTGGGTATTTGGGAATATAATAAACTATGAATGGGATATATCTGATTTATTGTAGATAATGGAGAATGTAGTCTATTAAAACAATTTAAAAATCCTCAGACTGGGAGAAAATATTTGCAAAATGCATATCTGATAAAGGGCTGTTATGTAAAATATACAAAGAACTCTTCAACCTCAACCAGAAAATGAACAAATCAATTAAAAAATGGGCAAAAGATTTGAACAGACACTTCACCAAAGAAGATACACAAATGAACAATAAGCATATGAAAAAATGCTCAATATTAAACTTCATTAGGGAACTGCAAATTAAAATGAGACATTTCCATCTACCTATTAGAATGGCGAAAATCCAGAATACTGACCAAATCAAATGCTGGTGAGGATGTGAGCAGCAGGAACTCTCATTCAGGGCTGGTGAGGATGCAAAATTATAGCCACTTTGGAAGACGGTTTGGCAGTTTCTTACAAAACTAAACGTACTCTTCAGTACAATCTAGCAACTGTGCTCCTCGGTATTTACCCAAATGCATTTGAAACCTTTTACCTCAGTATTTACCCAAATGCATTTGTATGTTCACAAACCTGCACACAGATGTTTATAGCAGCTTTATTCATAATTGCCAAAATTTGGAAACAACTAAGATGTTCTTTAGAAGGTGAATAAATAAACTGAAGTATATTCATACAATGGAACATTATACAGTGTGTAAAGAACTGAGCTATCAAGCCACAAAAAGATACGGAGAAATCTTAAAGGCAAATTACCAAGTGAAAGAAGCCAATCTAAAAAGGCTACATAGGGCCGGCCCGGTGGCGCACTGCTACAGGGTGGCGCTCCCGCCAAGGGTTCGGATCCCACATACAGACTGGCGCTCACTGGCTGAGCGAGGTGCGGGCGCGACACCGAGGGTTGCGATCCCATTGCCGGTCACGAAAAAAGACAAAAAGGAAAAATAAATAAATAAATAAAAAGGCTACATAATGTATGATTCCAACTATGTGGTGTTTTGGAAAGGGCAACACTCGAGACAGTAGAAAGATCAGGGCTGCTAGTGGTTCCAGGAAAGGGAAGAAGTTGGAGCACAGATTTTTAGGGCAGTGAAATAATTCCATACATGCCATTATACATTTATCAAAACATATAAAATGTACAACACAAATAGAGAACCCTAATGTAAGCTATGGACTTTGGGCAATAACCATGTCAGTGAAGGTTCACTGATTATAACCAGTGCACCGCACTTGTGTGGGATGCTGATGGTTGGGGGGCTGTGTGTGTGTTGGGGGTGGGTAGGGAGTATGTGGGAACACCCTGTACTTTCACTCAATTTTGATGTAAACTTAGCACTGGTCTAAAAAATAGTCTATTAAATTAATAACTGGTGTGCTAATATGGTAAAAAAATTATACCAAGGCACATTCAATATGTTTGAAGTAAATGTTTTTTTTTTTTTTTTTTTGTCCTTTTTGAGACCAGCCGCACCGCGTTCAGCCAGTGAGCGCTGTGAGCGCACCGGTCATCTCTATATAGGATCCAAACCTGCGGCGGGAGCACTGCTGCGCTCCCAGTGCCGCACTCTCCCGAGTGCGCCACGGGCTCGGCCTGAAGTAAATGTTTTAATAGGCAGAATATTCAATATTTAATAAATATTTGTTCACACCCTCAATGTTGAAAGCTCCCCTCAGATTCCTTCTTATGTGTCAAGTCTAGGGCAACAAAACTGCCCGGTACAAAAGGAATACCACACAGAGGAAAGCCAGGCCCTTCTGGGAGCAGAGCTGTGGAAGGCATGTAGTAAAAGGACAGGTCATTTAAGTGTTCACTTAAATCCAAACTCCTTTAGGAGTGATAAGACATGCTCAGAGGTCATCAACTAGTGAAGTTTGTGTAATGACAACTGGATCATTCTGGAATAGGGCAGGGTGGGCATGCCTGTCTCCATGGGAAACAATCTACCCTATGGTGGCAGCATTTTGAGAACAGACCAGCAAGGCCACAGGTGTGAGCCCAGCCCCACTGTCTATCCACGGTTAAGTCAGGCTACCTGTCAAGCCGCCCTGCTCTGTAACTGAAGCTGTGGACTGGATACAGATAAGAATATGGAAACTTGCTTCCAGACTTATAAAAAATGGAAAGAAGTGTTTCAAAATGAGTCATGTTGGGCCAGCCCGGTGGCGCACTCGGTAGAGTGCGGCGCTTGGGAGCGCGGTGGCACTCCTGCCGTGGGTTCGGATCCCATATAGAGACCGGTCCGCTCACTGGTTGAGCGCGGTGCAGGCGCGACACCGAGGGTTGCGATCCCGTTGCCGGTCACGAAAAAAGACAAAAAGGAAAAAAAAAAAAAATGAGTCATGTGTATTATTTCCAGGCCCATACAAGAACTGATAATAACTAAAGCTATTAAGAGATAACCATACTCAAACTGCTTTCAGTTCTATGGTTTGTTATTTTGAACTTCAGCTGTGCGTGAAAAGTAAGGTTACAATGTGCAGACCTGACTCTCTGAGGTGTCAGCCTCCTTCTGTCCAATACCACCACCAACAGCACGTGACCGCCCCGCTCAACAGCACCACTGGGGCGTACTCTGCTGGTGTACCCTCCGCACTGGTTCGATTTACCGGTTCAGCTCGGCCTGTTTGCTGACAGCTCTGCAAAAATGAAATGTTTGGATGTCCGTTTTGCTTTAATGGAGGGAAGGTGCAGCACTTGGACTACTCCTGACAGGAAAAATACTGAACAATTCCAGTACTGGGTCAAAAAAACGCGTCTAGCAAATAAAGCTAATTAAGGTTAGTGTCAGTGTCCCTGAGAGGCATGGAGACCCCAATCAACCTGTTGATCACGAAAAATGTTGCACTCCAGAATTAAAGTGTCAGAAATTAAATGAACCCGACAAGGTAAACGTAGCACACACATTAGAAGCCAGCATGGAATCTGTGACATTCTCTGAGATGCTGGATTGAAAGAACTCAGCCCAGCAGCCTTGGACTCATCTTAGGGCACAGTGTCATTGCCTCACTCATCCTGTGCTTTGCACCTTACAACACCCCCTTTCTCCAACTTGCCTTAAACACAGGCAGTTACAAGGATTCTCTGTTCTTAAAAAGAGTTGCATCCATTTGTCTGACCAGTAAGGAAGAATTGAGGAAACGGAACATGTCCTTGGAACCCTTGGCCAAAACTACCTAGCAGACCTAAACCATGGCCCTTTACCAGGTAGGGCTTCTTTTCTCCGGGAAAAATGGTCACGGTTAACTGCCAGTAGGAGAGCAGGGGGTCTGCCTGATGTAGACTAATTCCCAAGAGGGAAGTTGGCAAAAGTGTGCACTGCTGTAGTCTTCATGACCTTACTTTTTTTTGACATTTTTCTACACTTGCTAGTTTATAATGGCCCTGGAAAAGCCTGGGAGTGTCTCAGGACACCATGTGAGAGAGAAAGTGGTAACTGATCATTGTGGGTGTTTATGAGGGAAATGGAAACTAGTTCATGGAAGTTGAGTGGACGGCCATCTCCAGTGCTGATTAATTTGAGACTTTCAAGGAAAGAAACTTGAGCTGAGAACTGAAAAACCAGAGCAGTTATTGTAGTCTCAATCAAAAAATAAAAAGGGACTTTGGTGTTAAACTCTGGATTCATGTGTTTCCTGGAGTTCTAAATCTTTCACTCATTGCCTTATAAAATCAATCAATAAATTAAGGTCCTGGCAAGGAGAGGACCCTCCCTGATCACGGCCAAGAATTCCCATAGGAGACTCCCCCCAGCTTTTCCAGGCATAAAATATTCAATTTGTCGTGGCAAATCTTGGGACATGAATCACAGTGACAAGTCAGACAATATAATTAGAGGAGCAAGAGGAGGGGCGTTTAGAACCCCCAACAGGCCAAACTTTAGCGTGATGGATGTAGGCTTTACCTGCCAGCTCTGTTGCTATCAGAGCTGTAGCTCTGTAGCTCTGCTACTATCTCCAGGAGGGCAGGGGCCCAATATTTTGTTGTCCTATCCCATAACTATAGGAATTCCTACATGAAGATGCAGACAGGAAAGCTAGAAATCAAATCTGTGTCCTTTATTCCTAGTAGGCATATCCAACCATATGCCGAGTCCTGTCTCAACAGACTGGTGGAAGTTTCCTGGGCCCGAGGCACACAAATGCCTGGGCTCTGCTCTCCAGATGGATGATGGCATGGGCAGCAGAGAGGAGCTGAGCCTTGAGGCACAGCCCCCCAGCATGAAGGGGAAAGGAGAGTCAAGGTAGGATTATGATGGTGAGGGCAGTGAGGGGCCTCAAAGGGCTGAAGTCCTGTTTTGAGGCGAGAGGCATTTCCACCCAGTCGCCTAAGTCCACTGACAGCGGCACCCAGTCTGCAGGTAGAGGTAAAGCTGCTGTTGTGCACTGTGCTACTGTATTCTTCTGGATCTTCTGGAGGTCCCTTTCCTTTTTCCACTGCGGCTAAAGTTGTGACCAAGAATGGGACAGGAAGCTGCTAAAGTCTTAGAGCAGGAATCATTTGTCAGAAGAATGCAGAAGCCACACACAGGACTCCCATCTTTTTAGAGATGAGCTATTTGGGGCTTGAGGAATGAGACGGAGGGAAGTGGAGGGCAGGAGCAAGAGAAGAGTTGAGAGGCTACCAGCCTGAGGATGGAAGCTGGGAGCCATGTGCTCAGAGAAGTGTTCAGTGGATTTGTGGGTGGCAGGATGAGATCCCTCTGGGCCCAGTCCCCACCAAACATGGAAGAACTGGGGCAGAGGCCACTTACCTAGGAGACAGAACTCAGGCACCAAGTAAAAAAAGACCCTCATGCAGAACTGCCACCCTCTGCCCCAAGCAGTCTCAGATGGCCTGCCCTCGACTGAAACCACTGGCCAGGGAGGCAGGGCCTATTGCTGGGATATCATGGTGAATGCCCAGTCCAAGAAAGCCATGGTAATGTCCTGCAGGCAGAGCCAGGTCCAGCGGGCAGCCTCACTGAGTTGTGTCTTCACACAGTCCCAGGTCACCTCACCTCTGGGAGGAAAGCAGAACATTTTTGGTGTGTGTGTGACTGTGTCAACCCTCAGGGATGCAGCTCAGACCCACAAACCTCAACCCAGAGTGGCCAGAGATGAGCAAGAGGCAGGGCAGTTCGAGAGACTTAACAGAGAAGCCTTGTCCATGGGGACAGGAAATGGGGCCACTAGGGATCCTGTCAGAGCCCTGGGTGAGAGTCTCACCTGCACACCTCGTGGCAGTGCTCCTGGGCCCAGGCCAGGGTCTCAAGCAGCAGGTGCCACAACGGCAGCAGTATGTTCTGATAGAGAAGCAGGAGCAGCTCCCCCAGATTATGGAGCAGCTGGCTCAGGGCGGCAGGGAGCTGGATCTGTATCTGGACCACGGAGAATGGATGGGTTAGAGGGCCCAGAGGAATGCACCCCGACCCTAAGGACCAAGTACACATGGGGCTGCCCCTTCCCAACAACTCTGCACCTGGGAGGACCAGCCCTTCTCTGACTCCTTGTCTCTGCTCACCCTCTGAGAGAGGCTGGTGAGGCTGTCACCGAACCAGGCAAGGTGGGAGGCACAGTGGGCAGAAAGGAAGCTGACTGTGGCACTGGTGTAGTCCCAGGCCAGCTGCACGCCAGGCTGCACCACAGTTAGCAGATGGGAGCCCCAGGCTGGCAATGTCTCCTCTAGCCAGCTGTAGAAGATGGAGTGGAGAAGGAGGGCTGAGTTTCCTCAGGCCGGCTTGACTCTCAAAGGATAGCTGAGGAAAAGGAAGGCCACGGGAGAAGAAAACCACAAGCACCTCCACGGACTGTCAATGCCCACCCTGGCCACGTCACCACCCTGACATCCAAGCTTGCTCTCTCATACCTCTTCTCTCTCCTCCCTGGGAGAAGCTCACCTGTAGCCTTGCAGGCTGTAGGAGTAGAGCGTGGCACATGCTTGTTGGCCAACAGGCAGGAAACCAGACGACTGAAGCAACCGGCCAGCAAAGGATGCTGAGTAAAAGGGGCCTGGTGAGCTGGGAGGTGAGAGGGGCAGGGAGAGGAGAGACAGACACTACAGGTCCCAGGAGCAGGCATAGTGGGGCAGAACTTTGTGGGCTCACGGGGTCGCAGAGCTGGCTCCAGGTTGCTCTGGAGCATGCTGGGAGGGAGGCACGCAGGCCTGGGCAGTGGGGGGGGCTAAGCCCCCTCTGCTGGGACAGGTGAGCAGGAATGCAGCAGCCAGGTGGATACCTGGACTAAGGTGTCAGGAAGCCTCAGACCTGAGGGTCTGCCCTTCTACTTTTTAGTTGTGATCTTAAGCTAACTGCTAAATCTTTCTGAGCCTCAATTTCCTCAGGAATTAAAAGGAGATACCATGTATTTAAATAGTACCACAAATATGCCAGCATTTCTATACTGCGAAGTACTAGCCCAGTCTGAAGTGGTAATGCTGCTTCTGTGGACAGAAAAATCTTTTATTTGCAGAACTGAGAACTCGTTAGGACAAAGGCAGGCGTGTGCTGGGTGGAGGGGTAGGTTGGGGGGTGGGGGAGATGCTACACCTAGCTCTGTGCCCCACCACCATGCTGTCTTTCCTGCTTGCCAACAACTACTTACCCTGAAAAGAGCTGTGTGAGCGGAGGTCATGGCACAGTAAACCTATGGCAAAGACCAGCAGCAACAGGACTAACCGTGTCCAGGGTAGCCGAGAGACCCGTGCCTGCTGCAACAGACCCTAGAGGGAGAGCGGGTAGGGAACAGTGATCACAAGGGAGAGGGGCTAGTCCTTACCTCCTAAGGCAGGCCTCCAGCCAGGCCCCCCAGGAAGCAGGTCACACTCACACATTAACCTGGTGGTAGCCGGGGGCTCTACAGACAGGTGGGACAGGAATGTGATACAGGCCCAACCCGGGGTGTGCTGAGACAGAGATATAGGACAGCGTGTGGGCTGGAGAGGGCTGGGTGCCAGCACCTTGCAGGCCGCATCACAGGTGACGACATCCTGGTTGTTACCATTGCCCTTCCTTAGCAGCTCCTGGTTGGCAAGCTTGAAGGACTCAATAGTTTCTTGCAAAGACTTCTGCACCTACAAGATAAGAAAAATTTGGGCTGAGAACATAGGATCTGGGCTGTGACAAAAACCTGAGCCTCCCTCCTACGGCATTTTCCATGCCAGGTGCACCCCCAGAGCACCTTCTCAGGGAAGGGAGGGCAGTGGCTGAGGGGCATGAACCCAGACAAGGCTCAGCCTGCCAAGTCCTCCCAGCTCCTCACCTTCTTAGGAATCTGCTCCCAGGTCCTATGCAAGTGCTCCAGCAGTAGGCTGTGGGGAAAGCACACCCCTTGCAATCAGGTGGCCCACGTTGCCCCTCCCATCCTCCTGTCTTCCATTAAGCCCTGGCTCCTTCAGGATAAGACTCTCCACCCAACACCCAAAGAGCAGCAGCTTTCTCGGGGTCACCCCAGCAATGTTCCCCTTCACCCCGAGAGGCGTGAGCCTGCAGAACAGTGTCCAGTGTTCCCCTTCTGCTTCTGGAACAGGGACAGACCAGCCTCAGGCTGGGAAGCATGAACTGGGAAGCTTCTCTGTGTGGATCAGAGGCAGGTGGCCCCCCACCCCCACCTGCCTGGACTGCGACAGATGCTTGGGGTATAGCTGCCTCCAGACGCTGGCGCTGAGAGGGTCCACAGTCAGGCACTCAGTGAGGCTGCCCAGGAGCTGCACAGGAGGACAGAACGGAGAGACTGCTGGGGGCATGAAGCTAGGGGGGAGGGAGAGTACTGAGAGGTATCTCCCTCCCCTAAGTGAGGCCACACGAGCAACACATCCACCCTGAGAAGTGGAGAAAGCTCTTTGATAGGCTGTAAAGGGGGAGGCTGGGCTCCCAAGCTAGAGCTTGAGCTCAAGCTCAAAGCTCACTTGTCTGCAAGTGACAGGGCATTAGAAAGCATCCAGACCTGAATGTGCTGCCCTTTCAGGTCCATTCTTCTGAGGGTAGAGTGTGAGTGAGTGGGGCAGGCGGCTACCAGGGGTGAGCTAAGAAAATACTTAGGAAATGGACTCCATGAAGGTAGGGCCTTGGTCTGCAGATAGGGACCAGTGCTGACCCCTGGGGAAGGAAAAGCCTCCCCCCATTGCCTCACCTCTTTCTTCATCTCAGGGGGACAGTTAGGGGTGGCTCTGGACAGAAAGGAAGGGAAGTAGGTATGCAGGGTGGATTCTGGCTTCGCCCCAAATGCCAGCACCTTCAGTCGGGGGTAGAGCTGACACAGCTGCGCCTGCAGGCTGGGGTGGGGGTGGGGAGGAGAGCCAGGCACAGGCTATAAATGGGGCTGTGCAATGTGACCCTTTTGCCTGCCTCAGAGCCCAAGCCTTGCCTGAGGGGGAGAGTTACTGAGGGCCTTCTAATGGTTTCAAATCCTTTTACTTAGAGAGTCCTTGGAAAATCTGTTGAAAGCCTTAGATCCTCTCCCTAAAAACATGCTCACAGGCCAATCAAACTCACAAATCCACTGAATTTCAGGTTTTCAATGATCCCTTGAAACCCACCCTTGAACTTCCAGGTTGCAAATCTCAGATCTAGGGTGGCTGCGGAGAAGGAACAGGAATACAGTGCCTGGTTCTGACCCTGAACTGGGATCTCTTCACAGCAGGTGTGCCTCAGGACAGTCCTACCTGGGTGTCAGGGAGTTGTTGGGCATATAGGCAAAGTCCAGAAGTGGGAAGAAGTCCTTGGGGCCAATCATGCCAAAGCCCTTGGTGAGGTTGGGATACATCCTTTGAGGGAAGGAAGAAACAGGTTTGTTGGAGACCACTACCCAGGACAGCTGTTTTGCCCAAGACCCCAGCTAAGCCAACATCTAGTAAAAGGACATAAACTCTACCCATCCCCCAGCCCTTAATGGCTCCCTTTCTTTCCTTCCTCACCATCACATTCTGAGGTGGAAGGAGCTGGTCCTGATTGTCCTCACATCTACGGAGACCAGGATCACAGTATCCCATTTTGCTAAAACAGCCACTTGTAGACACCCTGGGCTTTCCCCTCATTACTCACAGGAGCAGCCGATCCAGGTATGCAATGGCAAATGGAGACAAAGACTTGATGCCCAGCACCGGCAGCATGATCCCCAGCCACACTGTGGAGATAAAGGTCAGGGAGGAAGACTTAGGCTTACACCTCCTGGGGACATCAGAGAGGAGCTTCCTGGCTCCAAAACCATCCCTCTTTCTTTCCATTTACTTATTACCTTTCAATCCCTCAGTGAGGTTGGTAAAACCAGCTTGACCCAGGGCCCACAGGATGGTCAGACACTTTGCTGGTCGGCTCTGGTGGGACCTCAGCAGTTCCAGGAACTGAGGAGACCAGTGGGGAAGGCAGGTTGGTATAAGGAAAGCACCAGGAACACCTCCAAAGCCAGGTGGGAAGAGAGATGTCAACTGGGTGAGGAGGGGCAGGCAGAACACTATGACAGTGGAACCCTATGGCAGGGTGCTGCAGTGATTTGGAGCATGGGCCTCACCCACACTCTGGCACTTACTGGCTGACCAACCCTAGGAAAATTATTGAACCCCACTGTGGCTCAATCTTTCCATCTATGAAACGGGAACAGTAGCAGTACATGCCTCAAATATATCCAAAGCAGGCACACAGTAAGTGTTAATAGTATTATTGGTCTTACAGGGTCTTCCACTATCACATAACTGAGTACAACAATGTAGATTCTGCCTAGCCTCCTGGTGTCCCCACCACCACCCAGAGCTCACCTTGCTCAGGTTCGTCGTGGCAATCTTGGGCTTGTCTTGCAGAATAGCTTGGATACAGATGCGGTAACCATGTAGTGACTCCCCTGGAGAGATTCACATTCTCAGACCTACTCATGCTATGTGGCATCCCAAACCTGAAATCTTCCTTTTGGTAGCTATGAGCAAAGAACCCAGGCCTAGTGTGTCCTAACTTCCTCCTACCTTTCCATAGAAAGTGCGAAGATTAGTGCATTTCTCTGCTGGAAACAGAACCACTCAGCCATGCTAGAAGCAGGAGAAAAGAAGTAGGCTCCCAAGATGGTTATCCCTCCCAGGCCCTTCTCACCTGGTGTCTTATCCAGCTCTTGCAGCATGGTGAACAGACAATGGTCAAAAAAGAGCTCCATAGACCCTGCTGCCTTTGCCAGTAGTCCTCGGATGATCCCACGCAGCTCCCGGCTCACCAGGCTGTAGGGATAATCTGGGGCCCATAGGCCTCCACATGAGTGCTAGGACCAGACAGCCCCGCCAGCTCTGAGAATTCTGATGCTCTTCATGAGAATAGTGAATGGAAGCAGGGGTCCCTGCATGGAGGCATCCTCCCTCTCCCAATGAGGCCCAGAAACTTTCACAGCCATGATTTAATAACAGCTCAAATCACACACATAAATCAGGACAATGGAGGGCACTGGGCTCTGTTATTAACATACAGTCCTTTAAAAATTTTCTTGAACTTGTCTGAGCTTGAGGGTGTTGGACAGACTAACCATGAGTGTGCTGGCTCAGTGTGGGCTCACTTAGAGGAGCTTGGAGCTTGTAGTTGAGATAGCTGGCCAGGTCCTTCAACCATATGGATGGGTTCCCAGAGAACACACTCTGGCTCTTGTCCAGTTCCTTCTGCAGAGCTGCCACATCCAGCTGCCAGGGACACACACCCCCATATGAGTTGTGAGTGAGGGGCAGGGAAACAGGGTAGGAGTGGGAAAATAGTTGATGTGGTGGTAGAAAGAAAAAAGGGTTTCTGTTTTTAAACATAAGTATGTGGGGCCCGCCTGTGGCTCACTCGGGGGAGTGTGGTGCTGATAACACCAAGGCCACGGGTTCGGATCCCTATATAGGGATGGCCGGTTAGCTCAATGGTTGAGCGTGGTGCTGACAACACCAAGTCGAGGGTTAAGATCCCCTTACCAGTCATCTTTTGAAAAAATAAACAAAAAACCCATAAGTATGTGGAATGCCACGATTTTGCTGCATCCAGATCTTCAGAAGGTATGGAATAGGACAGCTGCGAATGCTGACCACAAGACCCCATACTCTTAATAAGCCTTTTGTACTCTTAGGGGGGAAAACAGAGGACAAGATGGAAAATGAAAGATCACTGTTTTTGTGGGACTGGGAACCACAACCAGTTTCTCTTTCCTCTCCCTAGTGGTCCTGGGTCTTCAAGGCTTTCCTCTCATTAATCTGTGTTTCCCTATAAACTTCCCATTTCCTTTCTTTTTTTTTAAAGATGACCGGTAAGGGGATCTTAACCCTTGACTTGGTGTTGTCAGCACCACGCTCACCCAGTGAGCAAACCGGCCATCCCATAGAACCCGTGGCCTTGGTGTTATCAGCACCGCACTCTCCCGAGTGAGCCACAGGCCGGCCCCCCATTTCCTTTCTCAGTGCAAACATTCTGTTCCCTTGGGGTTTCCAACTTTTCCTGAATTCCTCCTCTCCACCAATAGTATTCCAAATCCCACAGGTTCCTCAGCTGTGCGTCCTCCTCCCCCTTCTTTCAACTCCTCTACATGTCAAGCACCCCCGTTTTTCCCGAGCTTGAACTCTAGGCACTCACAGCTTTGAGAGCCTCCTCCAGGCTGCGGAAGCGACTCTGCTTCTGGTTTTGTTTGGAGAGAGTCGCCGCCTTCTTGTTTGGCTGCTTCTTGTTTGCTGGTTTCTGAGGCTCCACAGCAGGGGGTGGAACCTGTTCCTTGTTCTGCCGCTTCATGATTTTCTCAAAGCCCCGTTCGTAAAGGGTGCTTGTGGTCTGGATTGGAGCTGGGGTGAAGACAGGCAGAGAAAGGGGGGCCACCCTTGAGTCCCCAGGGCCTCACAGGAACGGTGGTCCCTTCCCCACACTGTCACCTAATTCGTTTGCAGAGGAGCCTGACTTAAACTCTTTTGCGACTGCTTAAGGAGCAGGGCAGGGAGCTCTCCTGATTGCTTCTTTCAATCGTCACAGCTCTGGAGTCCATGGGCTCTTTCAGAGATGGGGCGGTTCTTCATTAGACAAATCAGAGTATGCGAGCTCTAGTAGAGGGGTCAGATACTGAGGACTGGTTTCCTGGGTGAGTGGCTACTGGTCTGGGAAGACAGGCTTTTTCCATCTTGGTTCCAACACAGTTCCTCTTGCGGGACGTGACAACTCTAGAATCAACAAGTGGAGCACTTTCTCCACTCCTCCGGGAGACTGAGGAAACAGACGCCACCCACGACAATACCCGGGGGCTGTTGAGAGCGTGTGGCGGGTTCTCTCTCCCAAGGCTGGGCCTCCTGTCCGGCCCTCCCCGCCCTGCTGGCTACTTAAGGGTGCCGTGTTTAATGACCCAGGATGCCCCTTCCCAGCTCTCAGACACCTGCCCCGAGGCCAGCGAGGGCTCGGGGCAGCGGGGAGGGCTGTGTGCAGTGAACCGAGCGTCCGAAGGCCGGAATCCTAGTCCTCTCTGACACGTGAGCCCGGGCAAGGTGTCCGACTTCACTGGGCCTCAGTTTCCTCACCAGTGAGGTCAGGCCTGCAACCTCCCCTTGCGCTGTGAGCCTCTCGAGAGACGCTCCAAAGAGACAACGCGAGGGTGGCGCTCGGAGAGCCCGGCGCTGCTCTGCCCTGTAGGCTCCGGCCACTGCTCGTTGCTGCCCTGCCGGGGCAGGAGGGATCGGCGGCGGGGCCGGGTGGGTACTCACGAGTCAGGTCGTATTTCCACACCGATAACTTCGTATAATGTATGCTATACGAAGTTATTACGGGCCTCCGCCCGGTTTTCCGGTCCCGCGCCGGCGCACCGCGCTCTGCCACGTCTCCTCGAGGCCCGCGCGCGGCGCCCGCCGCAAGGCAGCCTGGGACTTGTAGTCCTCGTCTTGCCAGCTCTAGCTTCTAGTAGGGCTAGAAGGATCAGGTGGAAATAGTCCTCACCACCGAGGAGAGTTTGAAGATTAAATGCTTCTTTCTTTCTAGGAAAGTACTAGTTTTTCTGGTGCTAGTGATTAAACTTTGAGTTTAATGGGCTATACAAATCTATTTGCGAAATAACAAGGAAGAGATGGGGCTTGAGGGAAGAGGCAGAGTGTTGGAGGGCAGAAGTGGAGAGTGGAGAGTCCTGATGGGAAGCCGGGAAAAGTCCGGGGGTCTGAGGCAGCCAGAGCTGGGTTTCCCCTAACAGGCAATGGGAAAGAACTGGCTCTGGCTGCCATCATGCTGTGTATTGATTGAATTGTGTCCCCCAAGATTCGTATATTGGAAACTTAGCCCCCACTGTGACTGTTGAGGGTGGGAAATCCTATTATGGTAATTGAAAGGTGGAGCCTTGAAGAGGCGATTAGATTGTAGGACCAAGCCCTAGTGAATGGATTAATAATGGTGGTCAGGAGCTGGTTCTGAGGGCTTTAAAAAGGAGAGCACATGTGAAAGTTGCTCTCTTTCTGCTTGCCATTTTCTGCCATGTGAGACCCCCTGGGTCACTGTCACCACCACCAAGACTCTCACCAGATATGTTCCCTGCACTTTGGACTTCCCAACCTCCAAAACTGTAAGTGATAAATTTCATTTTCTTATAAATTGCCTAGTTCCGTATATATTATGTTATAAGCAACAGAAATGGACTAAAACACACCACAAGAGTCAATCCAAAGTTCCAGATGTGGCAGGGATGGTCCAGAGCCCTAGATCCAAGGAACCACACAGACAGGTTACTGCTGAGACACCCACCACTATCCCTGGAGGGCCTCCCACCATGCTTTTTTAGTATTATGTTAGACCTCAGAACCTTAAAGCATCCCAGTAGGGAGGATAAAGGAAGCTTGAAATGAAAGTGATTTATCAATTAAGGAAATGTGCTATTTTGTGAGCCCCTAAGTTTGAGGATGAGATTCATACCTGCCAGACTGAGGTACAAGGTACTTCAAAAAGTTCGTGGAAAGGTAGGATTAAAAGATAACACAAATCTTTCCACGAACTTTTTGAATTACCTTCTTATTATATAGTAAGATCTATAATAGAGTCCAAATTCCTACAGGATGAACAGCTGAGGAAGCAACGAATTCCTTAGAAAGGAGATTAGAGAAGGCTTCCTGAAGGAGATGGCAGCTGAGCTGAGTCCTGAGGAATGGGAGAATTTTCACTGGTTGGAGGTTAGCTGGGAATCATCAGCTTGGGGATCAGTGGAGAGAACACAACTGATTGTTTGGTTCTTTGATTTAAACAAAGGCCTAAATGGTGGGAAACTGGAAGTAATTCATTGTGGAGTATACTAACATTTATAAAGCAAATGTATTTCACAGGGCCTAGCTTCCAAGGCCCTATAGTTTCAGGCATAACCTAACTTTTAAAAATTACACATAGAAATGTTAAGCTTGCGAAAGACAGGAAACTTTCCCCGGGCTAAAGTCTCTGTTGTAGACAAAGAATCAGTATACTAACATTTATAAAGCAAATGTATTTCACAGGGCCTAGCTTCCAAGGCCCTATAGTCTCAGGCATAACCTAACTTTTAAAAATTACACATAGAAATGTTAAGCTTGCGAAAGACAGGAAACTTTCCCGGGCTAAAGTCTCTGTTGTAGACAAAGAATCGTAACACAGCAAAATTGCTGGCTCTAAGGGATTAAGCCTCCAGGTGATTCTAATCTAAATTAAAGTTTAAGAACCACTGTATTGGGTAGGATTTCAGAAATCAGGCCCATTGCTTACAGGTGGGGATATGTAGATAAAGTGATAACTGACATACCTTAATTGGATTTGTCAGATGTCCTTGGCGCAGCTAAACCTAATGATTGTTGCCATGACAATTATCTTACTGTTCTTTTGTAACCACCTATGTTCCTTTTCTGTAACTTTCTGGCTTGGAGAATAAATACTGAGAGAAGACCCTAGTTCGGGGTTAATTTCCCCAGGTATGCTGCTCTCTTGAGGGTTCCTAGAAAATTAACCCCTTCAGGGCCTCTCACTGCTCAGAAGAAATGGGCTTTGAGTAATCCTTTGGGTCTCCATCACCCTGGGGGAGAGGTGACAATTCAGTGTAACAGTGCTTAATGGATTTTAGAGGTGATAAAGTTGGAAAAGAACCTGAGCTTGTATACCACAGGCCTTGCCTGCCAAATCTGGACTTTATCCTCCAGCCCTTGGAAAGCCAGTAGGAAGGTGGCATGATCCACTGTTTTCGAAAGGTAAATGGGGCTGTATGAAGGATGCGTTGGGAAGGGGGAAAGGCAAGAGGTGGGAGATGAACAGCTCTTGCTGTCTCCTGCCTTTCCGCCAGCCCCTTTAGGTGACTTTGCCTCAGGTATCTCTGAGATGGAGTGCTTTTGCCAAGGACCATATTTGAACTGATCATTGATCAATTCATTTTTCAGATCAGTGATTTAGCTCTACCCAGATAGCAATATCCCCTTTGTTTGATCCCTTTGTCACATGTATGATCACAGAAAAGACCATGCTTTTGGAAGAGAAACTGAACTGGCTTTCCATACAGGCAAAAGAGTGGGCTGCTGCGTGGTGAAGACACATAGAAGGGTAAGGCAAGGACTCTTATCTATCTTTTGTTGGACTAGTCTGACGGGTTATCAGCTTAACTTGGCATCTAGGGGATAAAGTCATTCATTTACTCATACAGCAACATTTCCTAAGCACCTTCTTCTCTTTGTCAGGCCCTGTGCTAGAGGTGGAGCTGGGGATACACTTCACTTGCTTGGGGGGAACTCGAAGCCTGTGTGGGAGACAAGTGTATACACAGAAAATTACAGTTCACTATCTTAGATGTTCCAGAGGAAGGATGCACTTAACATGAAGTACTAGGAAGAGGTGAGGGAGGAAGTAGTGGCTTTACATACCTGAATTCTGGGTGTTTGAAGAGCAGCCTTAGACACTAGCCACAGAGGTGGGCTTGGGTAGGTATACACAAGGGGTTTGAAGACTCAAAAAAAGTTGGGTCAAGGAGGACAGGTGGGTGTCTAGTGTGGGGGCAAGAAGCAGGGTGAACTCACTGAAGGACTATTTTACCCACTGTATTAGTTTTCTGTTGCTGCTGTAACAAATTGCCACAAACTTAGTGGCTTAAAACAACACAAATTTGTTATCTTACAGTTCTGGAGGGCAGAAGTCTGACTGGGCTAGAATTAAGGTATCTGCGGGGTTGTGTTCTTTTCTGGAGGCCCTAGGAAAAAATCCATTTCTTTGCCTTTCCCAGATTCCAGAGCTGTCTGCATTCCTTGGCTCATGGCCCTCTTCCATCCTCAAAGCCAGCAATAGCAGGTTGAGTCGCTGTCACATTGTATCACTCTGACCTCTTCTGCCTCCCTCTTCTACTCTTATGGACTCTTGTGACTACAATGGACCCACCTGGAAGATCCAGTATACACTCCCTATTTTAAGGTCAGCTGATTAGCTGCCTAAATTCCATCTGTGACCTTGATTGTTCTTTGTCATGTAACCTCACATATTCACAGGTTCCAGGGATTATGAACTGGACATCTTTGGGGGGAGGCATTGTTCTGCCTACCACATCCACTTTACAATCAGGGTGAGATCTTGGCTTAAAGATGAACACTGGGCGATACAGAACGATTACCTTATCCTTTTATAGTATATACCTGGAATAATAAAGGAAAAGCCTTTTAAAATTAGGCAAGGGAATTAAAAATCATCAAGATAGGGCTGGCCTATGGCTCACTTGGGAGAGTGTGGTGCTGATAACACCAAGTCAAGGGTTAGGAGCCCCTTACTGGTCATCTTTAAAAAAAAAAAAAATCATCACGATAAATAGAAGCAAGCAGGGAAATTGTTGGGGGAGAAAAACAGAGCTAGAGTAAGGCCAAAAGTAGCTATGTATGTGGGGGTGGGAGTCAAAAGGAGTCAGTGAAGTGAATGAGGAACGAACAGACATGAATTGTTTATTGAAGGTTTGTATCTGGAGGAATTAGGGAAATGGTGGTCTCGAAAGAGGGACATGGGCAAAGCCACAGAGGAGAGACAGCCCCGGCTGTATCTTGGTCATACTCAGGATGGTGAGGAATCATCTACCAGGGCTAGCCTGAAGCTAGAGGAACACTCAGGAGGTCACACGTCTGTGGTCTTTGGGGATGAGCACTAGACCCCGAGTCAAGAGGTCTGGTTCTAGTCCAGATTTTTACCACCTTGAGTGAGTGATGTCACCCATTGGACTCAAGCCCTTCATCAGTAAATGAGGAGCTGGTCTAGATGAGCCCAAGGCTCTCATGTTCATTTCAGCACTCTTGGTCTTTGTTGGGCTTCCAGGCACACCCCAGGAATGTGGGGCTGTGTGGATGATACAGAGTGTTCCTGACTCCCTCCTCCCATTAGAGCTTGTTCGATAAAAGGAACCTCTTGGACACTGCTGTCCTTCTGGGCTTCAGTGCTCAGAGATGCTTGCTCTTGGTAATCTTCCCAGCTCTGTCACATGAGCCCATGTCTCAAGCTGCATCATTGTTGTGGTGTGAGCTTTGACAAGGGGTAGGGGATAACATGCAGTCTGACTGGTCCAAAGGAGACTGAAGCAAAGCATCTTGCAGCCAGGCCACCCTGTTACCCCACAGCCACTTTACTGACTGCCCACCATCACAGCCATGGTCCAGACTTTGTTCCTCCTTAGGGATTGGGGGTTGTGGCCCGCATACCTTCCCTTAGAGCGCAGTCACCAGTGTTGGGAGATGGGACGAGGTCAGAGCTGGGCTCTGAGCCCAGAGGCATGAGAGAGTG